TATATATATGTTTGTTTGTGCTTTAAGATAGGTGTCAGTGCAGAACCCTGCAGAATTATTGTGGGACGGAAGGTTACTAATCTTTGCAAAACAAACCTTCCTAAAGCCCTGGCCTTTGCATAACAAAACCCCCATGAAAGTGTGCTGAGTATTGAGATGTCATATCTCATTTAGTCAGAAGCTAGGACTAACGTGTCCTGACTTGTTGGGATGACTAGGAGGGAGATGACTAATTCTTCCAGTGGAGTGAAAAGGGGAGGGTGCTGTCGTGAAGCACTGACGTCACAAAGCTATTGGGAGCTGCTGCAGTCACACTCTGCAAGCTTCTATGGGAAATGTAGGGTTTCCTTGCAGGCTACAAAAGGCTGGCTAAACAGGAAAGGACAAACTCTTCTAGAATGGTGTGTGCTTTTACATTTACTATATCCTCTTTTGTCCAACAGATGGGGCAAAAGGACAATGGCAGAGTTGCAAATCTTATCATTCTACCAGCTGCTGCTTTGCAAATGCACCTTTAATATTAGATTGTATAGAGAAAAAATAAGTACCATTTCCAATGCAACTTGCTGTCAATGATTTTAAGAAGCAAAAAGAAAAAAATGACCATGGTTAAAGCAGTTACATAAATGATCTTTTGAGCATTTGTGCAGTAATTACATGACACATGCCTCTAGGAATGTTAATGAAGTGAAAAAGGCCTGCAATGAAATGTGGTTATGACATAAATTTATGACACATTGTCCACAAATGTGCCATTTTCTCAAAAAAAACTAAACCGTAGCTTAGCAAACAACTCTAGTAAATGAATTTATTACAATGAATTCAACAAACAAACAAACAATGTACCTCATTATCTGGCTTAAGTCACATACCTTAAATATTTCTTCTGTCGAATCAGACGCTGTTAGGCTATTGGTCACGCTCTCTTTATCTCCCTGTTGTGATTGGACATTCACTTCCTTTACTTGGTGGGAGTCGAGGGGAGCATCCTTGGAATCTTGCTCGTTTCCGTTTTGTCCCTCTACCTTTTCCTCTTGACAGAGGCAGTTCAGATGGTTCCTTTCAATGGTAACGTCTGGACTTGAATCAGAAGTGTGGTTCTCTACTGTGGTTGTGGATTTAGGGTTTGTCTCTTTGTCTTTTGTGGGTTTGACAATAACGTCACAGTTCTGAAAACCGTTAACAGTTCGAGATCCTGAAGAAGCTCTAAAAGCTTTCAGGACAATGTTGGGGGATTGTTCACCCTTCACAGGTGTTGGAGTCTCACTGTCAAAGCTGTTGGGATGCGAGGACTTAGCGGTCAGAGGCGATGATGGTGTAAGTACGGATGTAGATGATTCTTCGTTGTGGAAAGTCAAAGACATGCTGTGAATGTTGTCCGCTGTGCACTGCGGGACGCTTGGGGGGGTCATCGGCATCTTCTCTCCCTCGGGAGGAGAGAAGGAGCGCGATGTTGTTCGCCATTTTCTGGCAGATTCTGCTACACTGTTAAAAAACTTAAAAAGACCACCAAAGTGTCCCTTGGTGTCCGAGGCTTTCGGAGGCGGCGGCTGAAAGTCCCTGACGCTTTCAAAGTCTACAGAACCATAATCCGAGTCCATGGTTTTGTCCAGCGAGTGAAGTTCTGAGTCGAAGCTCCTTTCTGAGTAGACAGGATTTGTCTTCCCCAAGATAGAAATCCTTCTCAGGTAACTCCACACATCTTTGTGTCGCCTTCCTCCACTGAGGTGAGGTCTCGAGCTGCTTTTAACACTAGGCTCTTCACAACCTCCAGTGATTTTGTTGCAGTTTGTTGAAACATTATTGCTCCTTTTACTGTAAGAAACTCTTTCAGAAGGTTTACAACCATTCTGAATCACAGCCTCTACTGTTACAGTTGGCTGATGGCCATCCATTGGAGTGGACAGATCAAGGTCTTCAAACGAGCAGTCAAAATCTACCGTGTATCCAGCATACGAATGCCGTTTACTTTTGTTTCGAATTGTGCTCCTGTTGGTCTGCTGAGGAGTGCCAATCTCACAGCAGAAAGACTCCTCGTCCACCAAGGAGCTAGTGAACTTGGCAGTGGAAAGTTTACCCGTCTTTCCCCTGAACACAGAGGGGGATTTTAGCTTCTTGAAAGAGCGAACTTTGTCTGCAAATGAGAGTTTAGGAATGGAAGCCTCCCCGGGCAAAATCATGGAGTGGGGTCTCCTTTCCAGTTCCGGGACAGCTTTCTTTCGGTTTAAGATCCTCCAGATACCCCCTGTGGCACGGGGCCTCCGGTTAACCTCATGTCTGTCCTTGACGGAGGTTTGACAAGATAAGGCCTGGACCTCTTTTTGCACCTTGGCAGACCCCGACTCCGTCTCCTGAGGATGAATACTGCCGGCCTCATTCTCCACATCCAGAGAAACGTTGAACACTCGATTGACAAACCCATTAGGGTTGTTGCTCTCAGAGACAGGGTTGTCTGTCTGTTCCATCCTCTCTCATTCTACAGTGTCAGCTATCAGTTTTGATGAACATCATGTTAAGGTCCGCTCTCTGTCAAACACCTGGAAGAGAGAAGACATGTATTTATGAATCGAACATTAAAATGATTAATGATAATGCTTAATCAGTTGCATATTTTTCTAAAAGCTTGTAAATCTACAAAAAGTCAGATGTTTAGTAAATGTAAATAAAAACAGAATGCAATGATTTTGTAAATCTGGCAGTAACTTATCTAAAACAACGTTACAGGGCCATGTTTACCACTGTAAAGCATTCCTTAGAATCATGACTGCTTAACAGCTTGGGATAACATTCGCCTCTAAAAACTCCACCAACTGGTCTCCTCAGATCGACGATGAGACGGTGGGGGAACCGTCTGATGGGGGAACGTGGCTCGACCTAACACCGGTCTCTGTTTAATGGTGGATGAAATAAAGAAAGTGGCGGTACTTTATTTACTTTGAGMAAGCGAACGTCGTGTTCACAAGATAATTAATCCAACAGATAATTCAGAGGCGGCCTGTTCGGTAAATTTTACTCCAGGAACTGCGAGGCTTAGTTTCAAGCTTCAGACGGAACTGAAGCAGCAACTGCCGACGTCATTACACTCTTGCACGATGCTGCGTTCAGGACAAGCATGAAAAACTCACCACTCTTATGCCAATACGGTCGCAATGATGCTTTTAGGTACTGAAATGGAATGGCATGAACATTCACGTGATGGTTATGTAATACAGCGAATTGATAATAAAAAAATCTGCGTCAACAAATTTACATAATCGACGTCATCGATTATTTCAACTAATCGGTGCAGTCCTAAAGTTAACTAAAACTTTTTTTCAGTTCTACCACCAAGTGTAGCACAGAAGGGACCAAAAGTGATTTAAAGACAACAAAGCTGCTGTGCGCTGTTCCTTCATTGTTCCGTTGTGAAAAGGCAGGTGAAAATACGGAGGTGACTTTAGCATTTGCATTCAGCTGTTCCAGGGAACCCGTAAATATGCAAACCGGCTCTAACTGAAAGTGAAAGAGACCCTCAAGCAAACAGAAATCAAACAAACCAAGAAGGCTGGGGGACTAGGAGTGGCCAAATTAACAGTTTGATACTCCCCAAGTACAGAAAACTCATTGGTGAGATCAGCAAAAATGCAGAAGGCACCACTGCAGGTATAGTGTTGCATGGGATGGACACAGGATCCTTTATGAGGTAAAGAAGTGGATCTAAGCAGAGAACATAATTAAGGAATAGATAAATAACTTAAAGGAAGTCCTCACAAGGTCTGATGAATAAGAACTCATACACATCAAGACTAAAATTTCCAAACAGGTCTCAGATAAATACATTTTAAAAACACTGGAGCAAATTTGGAACAGCCTTTCTTTGAACAGAAGAAATAAAAATCAATCTTCACTAGACTATGTGAAGGAATAACATGAAGAATTTCTTGTATGGCTTTTGATTTAAAGCATCCAAATAGATAAAAGAGGAGGGAGTGTGATTACATGGAGTAAGTATAATTTCCAGAGATAACAGATCATTGCTGTTTATATACAGTATATGACATCGATGGACTAAGCTCCAAAGTAGTGGAATATTCAGCCAGAGTAAAAACTAAGGGCACGGGGACCTACAAACAGCCTCTGTGTACAGCTGTTCCAGCAGAAAGGGAATGGCAAAGGATCACAAAGGAGGAAACCCGCTCTTTTGATGATGTTTGTGGGCTTCACAGACTTCTGGCAGTCATTGCCCATGCCGCATTCTTGACAAAGTATCAACAATTACAAACTATATTTGGGGGTTATATTATTCTGATCAAGGAAAAAAAAGAGAGAATGGTGTAATCTGAAGACTTCTGTCTGTTACAGAGGTTCTCAGACTCTTTCAGCTTCCCACCTACAAAGTAACAGTGGTGGATGACTTTATTCATGTTCTTCAGGGGACAAATCAGTCACCTTATACAACCTTTATCTCTTTTATTATATTCATAAAAAAATATTATTTTTCCTCAGGAAAAAAGCTTTGTTTATTGACTGCACTAAAATAAACAAAACATGAACAAAATTAAAAGCATGGCTAAATTGTCTACATCATAATGACACAAACAGGCCTAATGTGTTTACTGTATATTACTGTATTTATCCTTAGTAAGCTGGATAGAAATTGGACATATTTTTACATTTATTTACATTTCCGAAAATGATTTTAAGGCATTCATTTGGTGTTTCATGACCCACAGTGGGGCCGTGACCCCCTACTTTAGGACCTACTGCTCTATCAGGATGTGGAAACTTTTTGTCTGCATTTAAAGCCGGTGATATTTATCTATCTGTGTCCGAACACTTAGATTGGCTTAACAATATGCGTTTAACTGTGTATCTATGTAGCCTATTAGTAAACTTCATATTAGGTTAAAAAATAAATATTAGGCCTATATGTTATACAGGGGTTCTCAAGCCATTTGGGTCTGGGGACCCCTTACAAGGGCGAAAAAAATTCCAGGGACCCCCTCATAAAACTCATGCTGTTTTAAAAGATCATTTATTGTCAATTCAACCCCTAAATGCCATGGGAATATTTTTAGTAAGTTTATTATGTTTGTTTTATTAGCCCATTGTTCTCCATGCATTTTTAAAATAAAAATAAAATTAACGATTTAGTCAAAAAAAATTGAGGACCCCAATATACCTCTCGCGGACCCCTGGGGGTCCTGAGACCGCAGCTTGAGAACCTCTGGGCTAGACAACCTTGATAATTAGAGCCTAAAAGCTAATATCGGAAATGCCTAAATTGAGAGCAACGTTAGTCCTGAAAAAAAGTGTTGATCGTTTTTAACAGGAGCGTTACGTCATTTAAAACCCCCTTGTGTTTACGCAGTTTCAGTGTAATAAACTACTTTTAGCCAGGCTACCGTTTATAAACAGCGACAGAGCACCTCTTCAACTTTCGTAAAGTTTCGGATAAAATAAGTTCAAAGGGGAAAAAGCCGCGAGGAGGAGAGCGCTGAGCTGTCGACTCACCCGCCRCTGCGTGTCCTCCTCCTCACCGTGGGGAAACTGTGGAGACCCGCTGCCCGTCCGTCACTTGGAAATAAATAAATAAAAAACCCGGCGGACAGAGACGGCTCCCCGGTACAGCTCACATGGRTTCTGTTTGAACGACTCCGAACTCCGTCAGCTTTCAGCGGAGTTTGAGGAACTCCCAGAGTTCACAGACACACACCAGTGAACTCCTGCCCCTGAGCTGCTGCCGCTGCTGCTGCCGCGCTGCCGCTGCCGCTGCTGCCGCTGCCGCTGCTGCTGCTGCTGCTGCCGCTCTGCCGCTGCCGCGCTGCCGCTCTGCCGCTGCCGCTGCTGCCGACACTCCTGATTTGCTGATAAAAGCTCTCAGACAGAGGAACACACACGCACACTCCCACATTCTAAACAACACAGTTTTTGACTCAAACAAAACCCAACAACAGCCTACTTTAAGTAGGAAATAATAAATCAATATAAAGAGGGGGGTTCTATAGAAAGGGTATGAGMAGAAAATGTCTTACCTGTTGTAGAAAGCTCTAAACCAGGGGTGCCCAAACATTTTCCCCAAGAGGGCCAAAATGAAAATCTATCTGGGGCTGCGGGCCAAATGCAGTAATATAATATTTGAATTACAAATACTTTTTAAGTAAAGTCCTTTATTTTTAACAATTAAACCTGCAGCCAGTGCAGTGGCCCGCTTTTGTTTTAGTCTGGAGAAAGTCTGCCATACGTTCAAGTAGCAAAGGCTCACAGGACATTAATGTCCCATGAGTCTTTGCTATTTAGATAAAGTCAGCATCATGAGTGAAGACTATCTGCACTACAGCCCCTTATATAGTCATTGGGCCAATAGATGAAATGACTAAGTGGAAATACTGTGTTGTTTTTTTTTTTTACATAGGACAACAGGTTACAGCCTAGTAAATGTGTCAACTGCTGGTGGGCCAAATCAAATGGCTTGGCGGGCCAAATTTGGCCCGCGGGCCCCCCTTTGGGCTCCTCTGCTTTAAACAATCTCTGTTCGGGGAAACAGACTTTTGCATATTTTATCATAAAATGTTATTTTCTACTTTACTAAAATTTGTTGTTTGTGACTCATGAAAGCTCCTAATTTTAAATTGTATATGTTTGTCACATTTTTCATGTGAGCATGTTGCCATTTTGTTACTGTTGCAAAGCATTTTTCAGGATGATGATAATTGAGACAAAAACACAGAATCTTGGCTAAAAATCAATAATGTGCAATAATAAATTTATATTTTGTATTAGTTTGTATGTTCCACACTATATATGGGTTGAAACAATTAAATGTTGTGGTTAGTAAATTAGCTCTGGTGCCATCACCGTTGCACAAAAAGTAAGTGTGTTTGGTAGATCATTTCTTTGTTGGCAATAGCTAAATCTTATTCGTGGCACCTGATTGGCAGCACCTGGGGGTACCAGAAGCTCAAAACAAGTGTCAATAGCAATAACAAAWTAAGCTGTTTGGTAATGGCAGAAATGATTTGGCCAATTTTTTTTATATGTGCAACCCACATACTCAGCTCTGCTGCTCATCCCACAAATGCATGTTCCTTACAATAGCACCATTTAAAATTAAAATTAAATGGCTTTCCAACAGTAGCTTATAAGATGTATTGCCAACAAGCATTGGCACAACAAAGAAATAATCTACCAAACACAAATTTACTTACTTTTTGTGCTAAATTTGGGAGTTYTTATGTATAAATTAAATTTAAAGAAATATATAAAAGTATTTGGCAGTGATAGCAACAAAACTGTAAAAACTACTGCTTTTAATAGAGAATTACCATTACAATTCTAATCTAGCTCTGTCTACAGTGCTGGAAAAACTTAGAACACAGTTTACTAAAAAGTCATTACCATATTCAGCAATTCCTAAACTCACAAGTGGCTCTATAATTCCTTTGTATCAGCAAATTACACCAGATATTTACATGTGATGATGTCATGAGAGCAGACATAAACATATTTCACATTGTCTTTGGAGCTTGATGCTTTAGTTACAGGATCTAAATCTTAGAGGTATTTGTCCACTGTTTCCCCTTTGGTCAGATGAAAGTATGCAGAAACTATAGGTCTGTTTACTGTTTTCTTAATGCCTATTGTGACAGAAGTAAATAGTGCATCATTTTGACATTTTCAACTGCTGGACCTTCCATTATTTACATGATTTAGATATTTCATGCAAGCAATATCCAACCTCACACAAACATGAGACAGAGCGAAGTGATTGTAGATTGGCTAGTCAGAGCAGGTCAACTGGAGATCAAAGTCTAAGTTGGCTGCCAATGTCCATGTGAAAAACAATAACCGTTTGCTTCTTAGTTATTATTTTATAAATATTTTGTGCATAACAGGTAGCAAATGAGTCATTGGTGCGTAGAGATGTTAGTGAGTGTTGTGTCTTATAATATTGAATTGACAAAGTCAACTTTGATTTCAGCGTCCTCAAGTTGTATTTGTCTCCATGCAGTGCTCACGTCATGTTTCTATGGATCAACATTTCTTAACTTCAATAACTGCTACCAGTAGTGGTCAAAATTTCCATAAAATAATAAATAAACAGGAGTGCTAACGTTTACTGTTCTTAACATGGACACTGGCAGCCAAGCTGACCTCAAATTGACCACTGACCTGGTCTCGGAACAGTCTGTGCTTTTTATGTGTTCTGACTGGACTAATGAGCTAACGGCTAGTGCAAGTAGGGCGAAAACCACTAAATTACAAAAGCACTGGGGTGGCAAAACATGGTGCAGTCTACTCTATCAAGACAAGAATGTGTGCTGCCATCTTGGAAGGTGCTGCGTGGCATCTTCAGTCAGAAGAGCAGCAGATCATAGTTATTGAAGAAAATAAATAAACGTAGCCAAGAATCTCAATGATTTTCTGTTAATTGTTATAATCATTAAAACCTGCACTTTGAAGAGCCTGGTATTACATTTCTTAAAATTTTATTTGGAATTAATAGTCTCATATCCAGTTATACTAGGGATTGTTGCTCTTTCTAGACCAGTGGTTCTCAATCCTGGTCCTCAAGGACCACTATCCCACATATTTTAGACATTTTCCTGCTTTGGCACTCCTAATACTTAAATGAATGAGTGATTAACAGGCTTCTGCAGCACTTAAACTCATCTAAAACATGCAAGATAGTGATTGAGGATCAGGATTGAGAACCACTGTTCTAGACTATGTGGCACAAAATACTGTAAAACAGCAGTACTGAGGGTAGTCGCATATCAGGTAACTGAAAATATAAAGGGATATAAAAGTATAGCTCAAGATTACACAGAGGTAGGCGTAGCACTTAGCAATATGGCAGCCATAAATTTTGCCTAGCASTGTCAATGGCCATACTAGTATGTAGTAAACTGTGTTGCTGACCTCTTAAAAAAGCTCCAGTATAGACAGTTTTTATAACTGTTTATGCGAACACAGTTTAAAGAAAACATTTATCATTTATACCTGTTCTTAATCATCATAGCTGGCATAAATACGGTATGTGAGTATATTCCTGCAGGAAGTGCTACAGATAAATGCTGCTGCTTTTTGTGTTTAAAAATAAAGAATTGTATGTAGATAACTGTGTCGAGCGAGACTAATGACAAAGTAAAGGTTTAGGATTTAACATTTTAAACCGTCTGCTTAGATTAGCTGTTGGACWTTGGTTCTGTTAATCAGCTAACAGCTAATACACTTTTTTTCATTTAGCAGATTAGCCTTACTAACCTAGAAAACTGTTAGCATCCCAATTAGCTTTTGATAAATTAGATTTTGTCAACTCTAAGTCTTCTAACATCTAACTAACAAACAACTTCAAGATGAAGATGTGTGGTGTGGYGCAGACTGAGCAGTTAGCAATAAACTGTTGTTTCTAACTTCCACATTAAATTTTTACATGTCTAAGGATTTAGCGTTAGTGTAACTATATTTTTAATTAGCAAAGCTTTGAGTTACCAAAGCTAACCTTTTGGTTAGCTGTGTCCACTTTAACTGACCAGTTCTTTTAGATTTAAACCCTTTTTGTCCAAGGTTGTTTAAATGTATTTACAAGTAAAATATTATTTGTTTCTAGCCTTTCAACAGAAATCCACTTTAAGAAATCAGAACTATTCTTTTAATCGGAATTTCTATCCCCATCTCCCCTTGTTGCTTGTTGTTTTTGTTGTGAGCTTTTCAGAAAAAATTGCTGAAGATTTAGACCAAAAAAAAAAAGCACTTACAAGTTCTAAAGCAGCAATGAAAACAAGTTATTGACTGAACACTGGTCTCATGGCTGATATTCCTTTGGGATTTACTCTGAATGTGAAAATCCTTCTATTGAAATGATACAATGGGGGATCGAGAGGGAGCTCAGGGGGGGTAAACTGAAAGAATTCACAAAAACTAAACAGCTCCAGTGCCGTGAAAGAGGAGATGGTGGAAGAAGTAGCCTAAATTTAAACATTTCCTCTTTGTCCTGTTTTGGGCCCATTGTCATAGCATGGCGTTCTCCCCTCCTGCACAGGAAGGAGTGGATCTGACATCAACGCTCCTGGGCTTGACAATGTCAGGAAGTCTGTCTGACTGTATGTAAATATCTCTGCGTGTCCATGCTTCCCTTGCTTGCCCACGGAGCAGCTCCTGGCCTTCTCCCTGGAGCGGGCTCTCAATACTTAAAGGTGTAGTGGTCGCWAGATGGTGATTTACATGCCGCACTTCCCCGATAACTCGCCCGCAACTGTCACTGCGAATTACAGCAGTGTCATCCTGAGCTGACCTTACCGAAATTGAGCATCTTTAGTACGTGTGTTCTGCTGCGAGCCGATTGAAATGCAGGGTTTTTGTTTTTTCTTTTTAACTTTTAACATGTTTTGTATGTTATCTTGCATGACTTATTTCCATCATAGTTTGACTTCCAATTCTCCCACTTCTTCCCTTGCTCCACTTCTTACTCACTCACTTCCTCCTCTGAAMGCCAAGCGGTCTTCCTGCTGTCCCCATGGCCGTCTCAAAAGACATCCTGGCTCCAGCAGCAGGCCAAATGTTTCAGCTTCAGATCTGGCTCATACAGCAATAGAAATTACAGCCAATCTTTAGCAAGTACATCCGAGGAGAAACAGAAATCACCAGAGGAAAGGACTAAGTCAAGAAAAGCTTTATTTAGTATTAGTATTTATAAAAACTTATAACAGAGGTTAGCAATATTTAATTTTGAAAGGCCTGTGTGGACTT